GGGGCAGAAGATCATTGCAGCGAGCTAGGCTTGGAGTCGGGGCCCCGCCTCAGATAACTGGGATCCTTTGTCCCCTTATCAGCGAGGCATCGATGTTTGACTCGCTTCGCAACCGCCTGGATTCTCTACACTGATCACTCTTTTGCCAGCGTCACTAAGCCATGCGCGGTGGTCCATCATCGCGATCAAGGTTGCGACTAGACGGGCGTACAAACGACCTGTTGCCTTGTTTCTGTTACGGCCGAGGACGAAGCATTCACATAACATAACCGCGTACCCACCGCCTGTTTTGAATTTGGACCTCTGCAATCGCGCACCCCCCAACCCCGAAGCGGCCGCCCAGACGGTGCCTTCGCTTGGTGAAGGTGTGCCAATAATTCACGTTGCGGTGGCTCAGGGCAGTAACGCAGATCTTCAATCCCCGGTTCCTGGGCTGCGTGCTTGTGTTGGTTCGGGAAAAAGCATCTCTGCGATGTGCGTCTCTGCGATGTGCGTCGTGCAGACAGCCGAGGTCAGGTGAGAGGCAAAGCCACCGACAAGGACAGATGCAAGAACAGCTCTGAGAGTCTAGCAATGGAAAGGGGCCTCCCCGCCGAAACTCGATGAATTCGTTGGCGAATACTATCGTCACCACGATCGAGCTCAAGACACTTCATGGCGGAGAATATTTACGGCACGTCTTGCGATCAAAACTCCCGGCGCTGCCCTTTTCGACCGACGGCGGCACGACTCGCTCACCATCTGCTCTCTCGGCCCCCTCTCACAAATTCCCGACACAATGGTTCGTGCTATCACCATCCTTACCCCAAGACATAACCAACAGACATCGTGTCGCCATCCAACTGCGCACTACGTCCCGATGTGAAAGTGTTCGGTGATAATACAGGGCAGATCAGGAAACAATTAGTGTTCCAGGGAACCCGAGCTCTCAAGCGGCGCATTTGCAAGTGTTCGTTGCGGACGTGCAATGCACATATAACTTGGTCCTTACGAAGTTCGCCATGGCGGTCGTTATGACCACTTGGGTGGACTCGAGATTCGAGAAAGACTCTCATGCACGATGGCCAGACCTTCGGCGGACCAGCAAGCACTCGTGCCAGTGTCTCGAGACACATCGTTGGTGGATGAGTGGACCGGTTCATTCATCCCTTCACAGCAGCAATACCCTTCTACTTGGCAATCGCCGTCGCCGCCTTTCCCAATTGATTACGGCGATGATTGCCAAAGAGGGTTTTCTCAATCCTACGACGGGTCGCCCAATGCGTTCGAACCCCCAGACTTCGACTCGGCAGAAGATGCTGTCTTTTCCGATGGGAACGAGCCCAATCCGCTAGAAGAGGCCATCCTCGACCCAGATTTAGTTGACAAACTCCAAATCGACGCTGCCGACCAGTACCTCATCGAACAACGCCTACAAGACCAGGACTGGGATACGATCAAGAGTGGTTTTGAACATCGTTTTGGCGTTTCTTCGTCGTCGAGCAAATCAGCCCTGGCCATGAGAGTATCGCGACGAAGGAAGAAGCACAGTGAGATCCGCTCGCTGT